TAAAAGTAGAGACTTTAAGCTGTGAAATGCTTTTTCGATCGTTATGTTACGATAATTTTTGACAAAGTTGCTCTATCTTGAATTTTTAGAAATTATCGATATATTAACGCAGTGTCCGGTCAATTAGTTTGGTGACTGTATGTATATATATATATACAAAACATAATAATTTTAACCTTATGCTTATTGTGTGTTGCGATTGATTGATGATCATTCAATAATTTTACTTTATCTGCTGCACGGTTTGATTCGTGTACATGTTCCAAGTCATGTGCGTTGACTGTTTCTATAACAATCACGTCTGGAGAATCAGGGAAATTTTCCGGTAATATTTCTGGACTGTAATTTTGTGGTACCAGATTATGCCCGGATGTCGAAGGTGCAGTCGACTCATGTGATGATGCTGGTTCACGAAACTGTGCAGCCGATTTTTGAGACAATTTCAACTTATCGCTTGGTAAATCTAATTCTTTGTTTTGCACTATCAATATAGATGATGCATCGGTTGCAGACAATTTCAACTTATTGTTTGGTAGATCCAACTTGCTGATCCAGGTTGGATCAATGTCTAGTGTCTTTGGTGGAGAAATGTAACTTCGCTCACATTCAACAATGCAGTTACTTAATGCTTGTACTTTCTGCAAAACAAATTAGCACTAGTTGACAAAACAAATTAGCATTAGTTGATATATCGTTTCATACAACTTACAAATATACAATGTATTGCAGATATAAGTCAAAATTACATATACCTGTTGCAGTTTGTCTATCTGATAATTGAGAGGTTCAGTTTTTAATGATGCAGATTGTAAGTTGATTATGAGATCTTTCATCATTTTATCTATCTTTGGTAAATCTAAAAACATAACAATGGTTATTAAGAATTTTATTAAAAGAGTTGAACAATTCAGAATTAAAAGAAATTATTGTTTTAAATGCTTTTATTGCTTAAGAATACATATATGTATATCCAAAACCGAAAAACGCTCCAAAATTAAAGTAGCATAAAGAAACATATTTGTAAAGAAATGATTGTAAAGAATGTTTTACATTTGCTAAATCTATCTATTTATTTGATGAATTGCAGATATTGCAATAATGTAATTATACAAAAATTATTAAAAAATTATTGAGATAAAAATGGAAGTCTATTTAATCAAATTATGCAATTTGAGCTATACAACAAGAAATAAAAATTAAATTAGAAGCAATGGACTCTTAATGAATAAATCCATAAAATAGCCTATAAGAGCCGACACGGTGTTAACATTTTTATTGTTACAATATCCACCACATTCGATCTGCGCGCCGCTCAGTTTCTCGGCCTTGAAACACAACTCTTTGCGTGAAGTCAAAAACTTGTAACTTATAATTAAATTGGTAAACAATTTAATATCTTTCGATGCTATTATGCATCTATAAATTCCTCTTCCTTTAACCAAGGTGTTATTTTTCGGAAAAATTTCTTTACAGACTTGGAAGGAGGAGAATTTATAGATGCATAATAGCATCGAAAGATATTAAATTGTTTGCCAATTTAAT